AACAAGTGCCTTACTAGTAGTAACAAGAAGCTACTAGGAACAAGTGCCTTACTAGGAACCATTTCTTCTTCGCTGTGTGGGTTCTGGAAGGGTGGTATACTGGGTGGCGACTTCGACGAAGCGATCCACTTCCCCTAGCTGGCACCGCTGGCGCTCGATCTAAGCTCCGGAAAAGACATCGAAACATGTGCCCCAGAAGAGGATTGACCCAAAGGGGGAACAACCAATCACCTCCAGCAGTTCCAAAGGGGTCGGGCTTCCCACCACTTCCACTCACTGCATGGGAACCCCAAAGAACCCGGCCTCTTTGGAACCTGCTCTGAAACCTGATCCGCCAAACTGGCATGCCCGGCCTTTTCGCCCCAAACCGCCGAGAGGCCGGGATCTGGCAGTGCTCCAGCGCCAGTTTCACTTCGCCCATGGAGGCGCATTCCACCCCAAAGCCCCACCTGAGACCGCCGCGGCGCGCGGCGCATCGAAGCCGCGGCCCGCGCACGTCGCGGTTTCGTAGAGCTCCGCAGCGCGCGGTTCGGAGCTGGTTCGGCCCAAGGAGGAGGCGACGGGATGCGCGTCGCATGGTTTCAAGATTTGGTGGGTCACATGGACCACCAAATTGGAATGGTGCACAGTTTCGAGGAGGTCAGAATGGCAGGGCGGTCTATTTTTTCGTCATGCTGCTGGAGCCACATTCCTCTTAGGCGAAGATGCCGGCTATACCCCCAAAATTTACGCCGCCGGGCGGACTTCCTTGCACAACGTCTGCGCCCTCCAACAACGCCCAAACCGCCAGCAACGTCTGCTTCCTCTCCTGTGGGGGTCGATGGTCGATCCTCTCTCTCCCCGCCTCTCATAGGCGTATCTCATCAGTCGGCTCAACGGGCAGGCCTTGATCGCCATCCGATGTTGCACCTGAATCGAACGATGCCGGTTTCTGGCGAAGCGCCCTGCGCTTCGGCCGGCGCTTCGCCAGGTGAAATGAACGACCCCACTGCGGCTAGGGCGGCTAGGGGGCCAACAGACATGGACATTAGCGGAGTGTAGGGCAAACAGAACACATGGAACAAACCACCGAAACCACGACCTGGTTCTTCAGTTCGTGACCGAAGTGACCGAAGTGATCTCTTGCTGGGACGAGCTCTGGTTGCTTCCGTCACGACGTCGTGGGACGAAACGGTCCGACCGATCGACGGGAAGAGAAGGACATGAAGACATGAATCAAGCAGGTTCACCATGGTTCACCATGGTTCACCCTTCACAGGCAGCGAGGTCTTCACCCAGTTTCCTGGCCAGTTTCCTGGCGAGATCGGTCATCAGGCGACGATCGACTAGGCCGAAGGGCGAGCTGTTATGTCAGACATCAACGCGACATGATCGATATGTACAGCACGAGTGGGGAAGTGGAGATATGAGAGGTAGAACCGCCCTAAACATATAACTCTGTTCAAAATTGTCCAAAGCAATCATCATTTTCTAATTTTTTTTCCCCTTGACATAGTCTTGCACAAGAACCGAGAAAAATTGGCGCTGTGCAACTTATTTGGTTCTATTTCTATTTTTATCAATATGCCCTCATGGGCATTGTCTTTAACTACACCGGATGACAAGTACGTACAGTCTCTCCCCCGTTTCACTGTCGGTGTTCAGCGTGAGAGGTAGTGACAAGATGGCAAAACAATTGGATTCCTGCTCGCTTGCTGTGCTCATGCGTGGACTTCAGGATCGATACCCATCCCTCAGCACCCAGTGAGGACCCCTCAGCTTTTTGGCTTCAACGAGTCAGTGAGTTCATTCCAAGATATCCCAAGTAAAGGTTTTTCACACCGAGCTGCCTGCCACCAAGCCCTGGACTCTCTCCCAACCCTCCCGCTTTCGCGGCTTTCGCGCTCAGACGGAGAGGTCCAAGGCACCGTCGATCCAAAGGCCTCCTTCAAAGTGGCCAGGTGAGCGTCAAAGAGATCCAAGTCATAGAAGACACACAAAGGCACCTGATGGCGGTCCAAAACACGCTTTCTTGCGGTGCGCGTGCTCAAGCGTGCGCTTTCTGCGTGGGTTCCAAAGGCGATGAGGTTCTTTCATCACATTCTTCGCTATGCCGGGACCTTCAAAGGGACCTTTTGAGATCGGATGGGTCACTTGGAAACTCCAAAGAGGTCACAAAGTGAAGGTCCTGGGGGATTCCGGAATCCTCTTGAACCTCTTTGCCTTTGCTGGTCATACTGTTCATGGGACACCTTCCAGCCTTTGAGCACCAGCACCTTGCGAGATCCCAGCCGCGGGGTGTCCATGAACGATCCTGACCGGTGGGCCCTAATTAGTGGTCCTCAAAGCGATGATCAAGCAGGGAATGGTTCAACATGGTTCAACGACCAATGAAACAAACAGTTCCTCATCTCCAAGGAAGCCACGATTGATTTGCCGGGCCGAAATCGCCTTTGACTTCTGCTTCTTCGCATCCGTCATATTTCTTCACATCCGTCATATGGTCCTCTTCATATCCCTTTTAGCACAAGTGCAAAGGACCTCATCATTAGAGCATGAGAAAGCCTCCACCTGTTCCTACCCCCAAGGCCATCGGGTGTCCGAAGCCCCACGGTCCATATGTTCTCTCATCTGAAACAAGAAGCTACTAGGAACAAGTGCATGGCTTCTAGCAACAAGTGCCTTACTAGTAGTAACAAGGACGCTACTAGGGGCTCCTTTTCTCTCCATTTCTCTTTTATCTTTGGGATCCAGTCGTCCCGCAGATGAAGCGGTCAAGAGACCCCAATGTGCGTCACATGTGCGAGGCCGATGTCGCACAGAATCCTCGAGGTCCAAACAACATTCCCTTAGACATGTTAACAGGTCTATCAGATGCTTATCATATATGCTTTCTCTCTTTATTGGAAGGCAAAAAACCTCTCCGCCCCCCAAACAGATACACTCGGGAAGGTTAGCATGGGACCTGAAAAGCACTGGGTTGTAGAGGAAAATCATCTTCCAAAGGTCCATTTTCAGGTTCCATGTTAGTTTTCGGGAGTGTACCCAACCTCATTTAACCTCATTTGGGACCTCTTCAACCTTACGGGCTCCTCCTCCTCATCCTTCCTGCTTCCCATACCTCCTCGACCCGGCGTGCCTCCTCCTCCTCACCGTCGAAGAGCCCCTGCCGCACCGCCGCCGCCAGCGGCGCCGCGCAGCTGCCGCCGCCGCTTTTGGCGCAGAACGCAGCCGAAGGCGAAAGCGAAGGCGGGGCACTGGTGAGGGGCGGCACGCGGGGCATGGCGGAGTGTACTAAGCTGGGAGCAGGTTTTTGGGTTCCGGGTTCAGTTGAGATGAAGGTCGTTTTGGTCGAAAGGCATGGTGAGGCCAGGACTCTTCCATGAATAGTTTGGCGCAAGGAGTCCGTTTTTTTGGGTTCAAATTCGTGCAGGTGGCTGGGTGGCTGAAAAGCGGTTCCAGGCTGCTGAGACGTCAGGTTGGTTGACAGGTGTGTGGCACTGTGAGTGGCCCATGCAACTGCATCAGGATGGCGATCGGAGTTCAACAGTGATTCGTTCATCTTCGTTCACGCCTGCATAGGTGTCATCACACTTACTTGTCAATGCACATGAGGCAGTACGTAGTACTGATGAATAGACTCCATACTCACCAACTGATTTAATGTCAAGGTCGGCGCAGACTTGGCGCAGTTCTTGGCGTTCAGCTGAGAGTGAGCCAGTGGCTACGCTGGTGCTTCGCGGGCTCGACGCTGGCCGACCAGGACATTCTAGGACCAAACTTATTGGCCACCAAAGAAAACGCGGGCCCTTTTTGATCTTGTCTTCATCGGAGAAGGGAGGGAGTTGTTCATCTGTTGGTCAAGAAGGTAGCACCCCACTCGTGAAAAAAGATGTTTGACGCTGTTCACCCCCTGTCTCAACCATTTTTAGAGAACATTGACGGTACCCGTGAGGACATTCAACTCCCATTCAAGGAACTGCAAACCAAACAAACGGCATAACAAGAGGTTTGGGAGTATGACGCCTGGGCCATCGTGGAAGGGACATCATCAGATCATGCCATGATTGGATGGATGGTTTATCCATCTATGGGGAAAGCAAATCAATTTGCACATCTAGAACTACTATTGGTGGCCTCAAAAAATTCTAAGCGGAAACCAGCGTTTGGTGCCAAAAACAGCACGCCGAATCGCACCAAGCCCGAAGCACATCGGGGCAAGCGAGCTACTCCGGACCAAAGCGCGGAGCCCAAATTCACCAGATTTTCCCACTAACCTGTGGAGTCTCTACATCTGTCTGTCTCTACACCTGTCTGTCTCTACACCTGTACCGTGGAGTCTCTCTCACTCCAACGAATCCATCTGAGCATCTTCGCCCCCACGCGGTCAGGCCGTGTCGACCGAGCGTCGGAGCACGTGGAGCGCATCGCGTACCGCCTCGACGAGCTTCGTGTGGCTCCCCCGCCTCGGGCGGTGACGAACGCAAGGAACCGCGAGGACGTCGGACGGTCGTGTACGAACTGCGTTGAGTCTAAGTTTTGTTTTGGGAAGTGAAGGACACCAGACATACAGAAACCTTGGCACCTGAGTTTCTTTTGAGAGCTTTTTTCAGACACAATGGCAGTTTGATCTGAAAGAGAGAACCACCAGACGGGGTGCTGGAAAACGACGGGTTCCCATTCGAAGAACAGACGTCTTGTTTAGAAAAACACTGATTCTAATTACGAGATCTGCCGGGATTTTCATGCCTCGTTGGTCTGATTCGTCTAGATTTCTTCAGGTCTGGATTTCCCTTTCAACGAACATGACACGAAACTTAAATGGTGTTTGACGTTTTCATTCTTTTCGCTTGCTAAATTTATAATAGTCAGACACCAAACACGACCAGTCTGGGACTGCCATAGCACTGCCGATCAATTGACAACCACCCCTGGCCGTGCTCGGCCATGCTCGGCAGTCCCATGGATCATCGTGTCGCCGTGGCCACCGATCGGACGACCCCACCAGACCCTATGGCCTTCGGAGAGTTCTACGGCCCCACGGTCGACTCGGCCCTTGTGTCGGCCCCACGGTGGAAACGGCGGGTCTGGTGGACACGCTTCGGTGAAGATGAGATTCTGTGGGCACACTTCGCCCAAACTTCGTACCCAGAGGTTCTGAAATCCATGGAGACCTAGCTTTGCAGGAGCATTCCAAACACCTGTGACCTTGTTTTGTAGTGTTAAAAATTTGTGAGAAACCTTACATGGTGGTTTGGGAAGAACATATCAAATCCATGGTGGGTCACAAATCCGGTATGGTGGTGATCCTTCTGCTGCTTCCTTCTGCGTCAACGCACCAAGTGTCGAAGCTCCAAGCTACGTCAAATTGCAATGGTAGACGCCCGTCTTGGTGACTTGAAAGCGACAGAAGTGGGCACTTTGGCCGGTCTCCTGCGTGTGATAGCCTCCCGCCTCCCGCCTTTGCCAGGAGAGACCGAACTTAAAACGCATCTCAAGCACTTGGAACATATATCGAAGTCCATGCAGTATGAGTTTGATGCACCAAGAGAGCTCAAAAACACCTCTTACACCCTCAATTGGTGATGGAATATCGCCTAGACTGCCAGAACCTGACCATTTCACAACTCCAGACTCCGCTTTTGTCCCCGTTCACCTACTCGAACCCGGAGCACCCGTGCCGAGGTGGCAAAACACCGGCCGCGGTGTGGCCGGCCTGCTCGGATGGACGGTATTGCCACGGTGGTCGCCTATCTAATAGCTTCCATCCTAAACCCGTTACAGGAAGAAAACGAACCACACGCAATCACATGCATATAGAAGAGGAGTATTTTTGCTATTCTTTTCGCATCAGGTAGTATGGGTAACATCATGAGCTGTCATGTCCAGGCCAACACCACACCCACATCCAGTCTCCTGGATCCATTCTTCGAAGTCCTCCATCTGGCGCAACGACAACCTCGACGTCCAAGGTTGGAGGTCCTGGGAGATCTGCTCCTGAAGCGGGACGGCGGGTCCCAAACAAGCGCTGGCTGCTAAACGCTCAACGGAACTCAAACACCGCCAAAACGGAAAAAGGATGAAAAGGTTTGAATGGCAACCCTAAATCAACCAGACATTGGATGGAACTCCAGTCCCAACCCACATTTGGCATATTGAAACATCATCCAGAACTGTTTCTGCTTGGGACTGGGTTTTCCACGTGGATCTTCCATCTGAAATCCAACTTTCTGCCTCATCCATAAGAAACAGCCAAGTCCGGGTGAACCTTTGGCATGTCGGTTGGATTCGGAACAGCGGTGGCTCCCGAATCCTGCGAACTTCCCCTGCCACCACCTGGTCACCTGGCCCTTTTTTTGTCGGGTTTGGTCGGACTCCGGAGTGGGAGTTACGATTTGTCCGTTCTACATAGCGCGAAACTATCCATCTTGTTTCATCTTAACTGTTTCAGCAGGGTTCCCTGTCAAAACATGCTTGAGCCAACCATATTGAAGCAAAAGGAATAGTCTAACAATAGTATGAACAGCCGTCCATACCGTCAAAAAAACCTAATACCTATAGCCTAGCGCTGCTGGACGAGTGGACCGAATCCCACCCCGACTCGTTCAGCCCAGGCGACGGACATCCAGCGGGGCGGAGGCGTCTCCAAGGCGGCGCGCAGCCGCAAGAAGCAACACTCCACGTAACCTGGAGCAGGAGTTCCGTTGGCCATCCGGAACCCAAGCGGATGGCTAATTTTCAGGGCCGCATGGCATTTTGTTGGTGCGCAGAAAAGAAACACCATGGCCAACAAACGGCCCGATGCTCCAAAAAGTTCCCCAAAAAGGAACACAATAGGGACAAAATACGAGCACGAGGATGTTTTGGCGCGTCAGTTCTTCTTTTTTCAATTAAGGGGCCCATTGTAGGTTGAGATGCGATTGTCGCACGTTGTGATGCAGGCACAGTTGTCACCTGCATGCAGGCACAGTTGAACATGACTCGTCATGATGCGTCGGGGTGGGACCCATTGGTCTGCCAAAGCTTGGCAGTTCTCAAGCAGAACTCTCTGCAAGCAGAAGTCTCAAACTCTCACACTTGGCCAACCTCAAGTCCGGTTCGGGTGATCTGGAGGTTTCCAGTCCCAACCAGGAAAACAAGACATTGGATGGAACTCCTCAAGTCCCAACCCACTTGCTATGTGAAGGATCTCAAGCTAGCCATATTGGAACATCCAGAACTGTTTCTGGTTGGGACTGGGGTTCCAGGTGGATCTTCCAACTCAAATCCAACTTTCTGCCTTTTCATCCATACGAAACAGCCAAGTCCGGGTGAACATTTGGCATGTCGTTGGAAGATACGGGTCTAAGCCTTGGCCCTTCTTTGGCATGCCTTGCAGTTCCGAGGGCGAGTCGTCTGCTTTCGGCCGCGCGGCGCAGCGAGATGTTCAAGGCCAAGCCATGCGGATGCTCCTCCGCAGCAGTGAAGCCGCGCGGCGCGCGGCGTCGTGGGCGTCGTGGTCGTGGGGTCCCAGGGTGGAGACCTCCGTGACCGAAGGATTGAGGGGGTGGGGGGAGGTGCGAGGTCAGCAGTCAAAGACTTTTTGATACCTTTTTATAGTTTTGGGGTTAAGAAGATACTATGAAAAATTATGAAAACATGATCTCTACTATTCTCTAATATGATCTCTCTATACAGCATCAATGGATGTAGCGACCCTGTTGCCACTCAGAATTGGACATGGACGATGGTTCATCAGGACTCCACGTGGAAACGATGACAGTCGCTCCTCCACCAATAGAGAAGGTCAAACATCTCTGTTTGTGGCGAGTGGTGGCTAAGGTGGTGGTTAAGGTGGTCTTCAATTCTTTAATTGGAGAAGATTAAGGTGGTAGAAGCTCTGACTTCCGCTCTGCATGGGCCGTGGGCCGCTCCTGGACATAGCCTTTGCCGTCGCCGCCCCAACAAACCTGGCACAGATCCATCGGCTGTTTCGACCTTTCTGGGCTGTTCGCATGAGCTACTAGTAAGGCCAGGAGCGCCACGTTCGTAGCGTCCTGGTTCTGGGGGACTCCATAGAAGGTAGAGAACTTGGACCCTGGATCCGAAGCCCAAGTGACGACTCTCCACTCAAGCGGAGTGGAGATGCGCTTCGCGGGCGTCGCGCGCTTCGCCGGGCATCGCGCAGCTCGCCATGCCGCCCGTCGCCCGTCGGTCGACCGAGCGGTTTCGCGACCGAGCGTGGCGCCTCGGAGGAGAAGCTCCCGGGGCGGCAGCAGAACTGAGACAAACTCCTCGGGCAGGCATGCGGAAGAGAACACCTGGTGGTCCTTTTGGGGGGCAAGGCTGACACCCTCCCGAACAACAATTCCATGGCTTATCACGTCTTTTGCCATGTCATCTGCCTGACATACGAACGTCAGGAAAACGATGAGAAGGAACAGCGCCGTTAGCACCTGCAAAGTATTCACCGTTTTCTCGCCCGGCAAAACGTCGTTCTTCCGTGCCCCAGCTGCAGGTCGCTGTTCATCAAACGCTCTTCCTTCGCCAGGCTCGGCATCAACTGCTGTTGACCTTGACTGGCACTCTCCGGTCCGTATACCATCGGTTCGATGGAGGGAACTGTGTTCAAGACACTGGCATCGCCTGGGGTGTTTTGTTCCCTTCATTTAAATGTCAGGTCAAAAGCCAAGAATTCACAGCATCCATTCGACTCCATTCGTTTTGAGAAAAGACCTGCGACTCTATTCGCCGCTCCCTCCAGCCTGCGCCCCACTCCCCCCAAAACAGTCCAAGGAAGAATCCCACGGTAGACCTTTTTGAGATGGACCCGCTTGGCTCAGTTGGTCTGGCCGGCCGTACCTGCACCGACCCTGGGACCTTCGGACCGCACCCCGGACCTACGGACGACCTACGGACCTCGGTTCGTTGGCGGAACGTCACTTGGGCGGTGTTTCGGTCCGTACTTGAGAAGAAGAGAGGGGGGTAGGCTCTGGTAGCACGTATCTGATTGTGCACTCTCCTGGGGGATTCTCCCCTCTATTCATCCACCAAGCAAGACTCCGACGACACACCGAGCACGGCGCACCTGGGGCTCAGGGTGGCTCAGCGTGGTGGCAATTGGACCCACTTGGAGACCAGAACTTGAACCATGGCCTCTGTGTGAAGCATGTGCTTCGAGAATGAAATGTCCATTCCAAACGGAAAAGCCCATGAGGTCGGTTTTTCTCCACTAAGCGGGGCGCAACCACCAGTGCGAGCAGTTCCTTTTCCTCCACAAACCCACCCATCCTAGTAATTACTCAAATGACTCTTCTACCTGAACATCTTCATCTGTCACAATTCTGTCAACTTGATTCTTGGATCGTCCTGATTTCGAAAGAAAAGACACCACCCACGCCACACTCCCCACCCCCCACCACCTCTGCTGTCCCCCCATCTCACCGCGCGGAGCGCGCCAGGTCCACGCCAAGGGGCTCAAGAAGCGACGCGCATCCGACCAGCAGGAGGGTTCGTGAAGGCTGGGCAAGCAGCAGGTCCTAAGCCGGGCAACCGGCCGTCTCGGTCCAGCGCTTAGCAGGTCAGCGGGGACCAGCGGAAGGAGGAAGCAACACATTTCGGTTGACTGTGCACGGAGCCCCTGTGAAGCAAAGCAACATCTCATGACTCGGCTATGAACCCCAAAACATGATGCCCTGGGAGTCAAAGACGATCAAAAGAAGGGTCTTTAGGGTACCTGAGAAAGGGAATGTCCTTGACTTCAAGATGGAAAAGTCTCGTCTAGACGAGTACTATGAGTACGTCCTCCGGACACCAGTTGACACCAATAGATGCACCTTTCTTGAAGACCTTTGTTCTGACAACAAAGAGCACAGCTGACTGTCCAGAACCTCAACAGAAGCAAAAGAAGCACACGCTCCAATCTGCTGATGTCCATGAGGAAACACATGGACCTTCTCTAAGTATACCATCTCATCTTGCTCTACCTTTCAGGGCTCCAACCAAAACATGTCGATCTTCACATCATTCGGGGGGAGTCGAAGAAAACGTCGGTGCCCTGCCCGGAGCGATCCACCGTCCTCGATGCTTTTTTGGGTAGCCGTTCTCCGGATTTCGATCCATTTGGACGAAGATTTCCCCGACATGTCGTGCCCGACATGTCGTGGCGGTCGGCTATATAGATAATACTCCTCATGCAACGGACCACATGGACATCCCCCCCCCAGGAAGAAACACAGTCTGGGTTGTTGAGGAACATAGCTCATCCAGGGCCACCTCTGTGGAGGGTGTAGGTCATGTTTGAATGACATGCATCGTCCGTTTCGAGGATCCAACTCCCTCCGGGCGGCTGAAAACTTCGAGGGCCTTCCCAGCAGGAGGGATTCCCCAGCACGTTGTGCGCGCCCTGCCACACACTTCTGTCGGTCTGTGAGTGAGAGTGAATCCCTACACTTCCAAGACCATTCAAAAAAGGGTCAACACCGGGTTTCTGTCGTGTTTTCAATCCTTCGGTGGTTCGGGATGACCCGCCAGTTTTAATTTTCATGGTGGGCGGTGGGCCAGGACGTCAGACGACGAATGACATGTGGGGGCTTTTGGGAAAGAACATCGGTCGGGTCTCCAGGGGGGGGTTGGAAGGAGCGAAGATAGCGGACTTTGGGCTGTTGCTTTGAGCACTGGAGGTCATCACCCAAAATCAAGTCTTCCTCAAAAGGAGCACGAAACAGGTGAACGATCTCTAAGTGACAGATTTGGTCCATCACGTGAAATGGCGTGAATGTCATAGTTCTCTCTTCACATCTCTTCACAAATCAAGCAAACATGATTTCTCCACCTGCAGCGAAAAACCTGCGATGCGAAGGAACTCAGCCCGTCACAGCAATTGCAAGCCGCGAAAGAGGCTTACAAACTTTAAACTGCCACAAGGAATACCCGTATCCGTTGGGTCTATCCTATTACCTGTAACAATGGATGATGATGGTTAGTATAAGGCCTTGTTCAAAAATGATGATAATTGTTTACTGACTGTTACAGGTAATAGGAGAGAATTAACGTATCCGAGTGTTGTTTGGTTTTTGATTAGAGCCTAACCCAGAACACTCCAAGGACTTATGACATACTCACCCCCTTTGCTATACTCCACCACTTACCACAGGTGTAATTCTTCGACTAGCGGATTTCCACTCGCAGTTCTGGTAACACCCTCCTTTCTGATGAAACCTGTCTAACTCCCACTCCAACTCCATCCTACAAACGGTTTAAATATTCAGTTAGCCATGTGTATCAAGCATTCAAAGATCAGGTCACGGTCACCTATTGTTGCCCGCCCCGCGCCGTACCGTGTTGTGTCCGAATTCGCTGGTGCCTCGCCGCAGCACATGTCATAGCTGAAGAGGCCTAGATGTGAGCGACCGAAGACGATGTGGGACGCCCTGGTGGCAGAAAAACAGGCCTTTCCCGAACTATGAACAGACTATCAGACGAACTAAGAACAGAACTACCCACTGAACTATGAACAGACTATCAGACGACCTAACAGACGACCTAACAGATGAATGAGACGACACTGGGAAACCTCCGGGTGCCCATGACCGGCCGAGTCAAGCCCCAGACCTGGAAGACGTGGAACTGCGGCACGGGACTGGGGTGGTGCGGTGCGTTTTGGGACCCCTGGCCTGATCGGCAGTGCTATGGCAGTCCCAGATGGGTCGTGTCTGGGTTTTGGGGTCTTCAACCTCTGCCGGTCCTCGAAATTCTAGGACCCTGGTTGCTGAAGAGGTGATGGTGATGACGACGATGAGTTTTCAGACGCAGTACGAAATGGACAGGCCGATTCAGCTTATGACCAGCTGATGGACATGTGATGTGGTAGGTGTGTAGGTGTACCGCTCCGTCCGTTTCAATGACTGCTCATGACTGTCATCACACTGCAACTCCGAAAAGGACTCAATCAAAACCAAACTAGGCAAATGAAACCAAAATAAGTTGGATTCTCCAAGGCTTCTGAAGACAAGCCCCCGGGCCATCTTCCCAGCACAAGGGATTTCCTCGCAGGACGGCGGGAAGCAGGCAGGCGGCTGTCGAGCGCCGGTGAACCAAAGCATGATCATCTGGTCAATCTACTTACCCGTTCGGATCAGCCTATAGAATCTAGAATTGGACCTATATATGTCAATGTGGGCTTTTCACTGAGGCTGTTCATTGGATGCGTTTCAGAGGATTTGAACTTCAATGGCAGTGGGACCCTGCTGCACTTCAATGGCAGGCGCATTGGAAGCGCTTGTTGGTCCATCATTAGGTGAAACATGGTGAAACTCCATTTCAGTCAGAGAAACGGCCCCAATGAGGTGTCTCTCTCCCAAAGCACCCCGTGCGCGTCAAAACACCTCACACCGGTGACCCTCTGTCTGCGGGCCGTACCACGCCCCGCCCCGTACCACGCCCCGCCCCAAAGGCCGGTCGTACTAGCCGGTCCTGGTGGCCGGAGTTCCATGGCACGTCCATGGCGGACGGAGTGTCGTGTGGAGTGGAGGGCTTGGACGGGAGGCGGGAGGCTCCCCGTGGGGTCCAGGTGGGAGGTGTTCTGTTCGCGTTGTGTGGGTCGGAACGAGTGGCTGGCAGGTGGGAGCTAGGACCTAGTAGCGTCCTTGTTACTAGTAGCCATGCCCTTGGCTCCGATAGTAGCGAAGTTGTTTCGTCTTGGAGACTTGGAGGATTTTTTGGGAAGCTCTGGAGGCCACGTCTTGATGCGATGAGAGGTAGATCGACTTCCGTGGTCGAGATGTTAGAACCGAAGTGGCTGGAGACTCTTCCGAAGATTAGGGCTTATTCATTGGAACAGAAGGGAGATGGTCTCAGTTCGGCATTGGCATCGGGACGAATTCCTACTGACCTTCAGTCACTGAGCCTGAAACACCGGACGCAGCGACGCGGCGCAGCCATCGGCGCAGCGAGATCGGCGCAGCGCAGCCACGTGGTCCAGAGCGCCCCGGATGTTCGGAACCCACGAAGCGGTGGGTTCGATGGATAAAGAAAAGGCGTCTCTATAGCCGATAGCGGAAGTGACTCACAGCATGTAGACAGACTCATTTGCGAAGAGACTAGACCACACGCAGTTGAATTGAAGAACTGAACTTTATGGTGGGGTGAAATATCAAGAGTCGACTCAATAGCGAGTCAGTATCTTTGCACAAGTCCTCAACATGCTTTTCTGACCACCTCCGTGTAGAAATTCCTAATTGAAAAGGCCCCACGGTCGCATGACAATCCACTGATCACCTATACCGCCCCCCCCCACACACACACCTATAGAGATAGAGCATATCGGAACATAACACATAGTATACCCCGCCAAACGGACACTGGAGCACCAATTCCACCGCACTTTGGAGGAATGCCAGTGCAGAACTTGACATTTCACCAAAAGGTTCAAGGACTGGTTAAAGGATGGCTATCCACTGACAAAGCGGAGTTGGATGGACCCCCGACGAACATCGAGCTCGTGGTTGTTCCACGGTGCCTGGGTTTCGGCGCCCCTTGTCGGGCCGAAACCGAAGGAAGGAAGGAATGGGAGCACCATGGCGAAACGTGGAGGTGTTCGTGAATGAGGTCATGGTCCGTAGCGATGCTCAAGCTGCACTGCAGAAAATCGCTAAGTGCCCCCATGTTCGCCTCATTCATGTTCTTTTGAGTTCAGGGACACTCCCCTTCCGCGTTCCCCTCCAAATCCGAGCAAATGCCCGAAGCAATTCCCCTTTGAACCACTGCGCGGAGTGGGGGGGAGAAGGTGCGGTGCGGAGGAGTGGCAAAAGCATGACCCTAAGACGAAAACCTTCGAAATCCATGGATGGGGAGAGTAATGGTGGCTTTTCCGCTTTCAGCCAACCACTCCTTCGTATGCTTATAGTATATCCCCTTTTCGGATACACATCCACGGGCTTTTTCAGCCCCGGTCCCACCGAGAAGTGTCCACTGCTTCTACTTCGGTGCCCAGAGGTGAAGGTCAGAGCTTGCTCGGCCGAACTGGTGCTCACCTGGTGCCACCCAGATCTCTTGGACATCGAGGCCTGGATATCTCAAGTTCTATCCCTAAAAAGATGGGGACTGGCATATTTGCCTAGGCCATGGACCCACCTTTTCAACCACCCAAAAGGCCAAATATGTCAGTCCCATTCGTCGGGTCGAGCCCTTGGCGACGCGTGTCGCCGCCGTCCTCCTCGACGGCCTGTTGAGTCTTCAAGAGCTCGTGCAGCTGATCCTCCACCGTGGCCTGCCTGGGAAGCGGTCGCCGTCGCCGCTGCCGCGAGACGCGTCATGGACTCCGTGGCGCGAGACCGACAACGAGTCGTACAAAGCGCGCGCCCGCGCCACACGTGGAGGATGGCTACCGCTACCACTCCCGTAGCTGCCGTCTCCGCGACGGCGCGAACGTCCGAGCGCCGAACGGGCGCTACGCCGGTGAACGACGAAGCGCCGAGAAGCGCCTCTGGCGGTCTGCCTCCTTCTCATCTTTCAGCTTCTGGCCGGCGCGAGCGGCTCTCGCGAGGAGAAGCTCCCGCGTGGCGTGTGTGGGAAGGTAGAGAGGTGGTCGGGTGGTGCTAGCTATAGCGGGGTTTGGGGGTGTAGAGGGGTCGGGTCTGGTGGGAATAAGGGGAGACATGGAACCGTGGTTTTCTTCAGAATGACGAGAGCTATAGATGGAAACATAACAGCTTGAAGCAAAAACAAGACAGATGGAAGGAAGCTTTGAAGCCTTTGACTTCGTGGATTGAAGTTTGATCCTGAAGCAAACTCAAAGAGACACGTTTTGGAGTCGACCCTGACCGCCTATATTGAACCCATAGTTTCTTCCTCCTGACTGCGCTCACAGAGTAAATGAGGGGTATCCCTCTCTGCATGTCAATCACCCAAAGAGAAGTCAGGAACTCCACACGCAAGGCGTGCTCCCTTGCTGCCCCAAGATATCATGAAAACGCTGCCACCCGAAGCACCAAGCAACACCGACCAAACTCTTGCAAAGCCGCTTGGCTACTTTGACCGAAAGACAAGAACGCCCTTTCCTCTCTCTTTCTCCAGCCCACTTCCAGTTTGGGTGAACATCTCTCTTGGACCTTCTATTGAAGGAACAAACCTGGCACCACATCAGAAACTCCATGCCCCAAAAAGGACCTGCGGAGCAGGTAGAAAGCCACGCCGGTCGCCCTTCCAGCTCAACCGCGAAACGCGGTCGCCGACCTGCACTTCGGCTGCTTGCTTCCACAGGGCCACCTTCTTCTTCTGACGATTCCTGGTCGCGAGTGATTTCGGCATCGCGCGTGAGGGCAAACGCCGGCATGCTGCGCCGGCGTGCGCGGGCGTGAAACGGCCCGATGGCGTGTTGGTGTTTTTTGGGCGCTGGGTCAGGGATTCACAGGGCAGAGGCACTTGGATTTGGCTAGGGAACATAGGAAACATCCAACAAATTCGCTGCAATATGCGCTCCCCAAAGGGGATTCACTAGCTGGGACACAAACTTTTGGAAAAACATTCAGAGCAAAACCCATGTCAAACGCAGCAAAGCCACTCCGAGTGAAGCAAAGTCAGTGCCCAGCCGGTCCCTTGGTTCGGACCCTCCATATGAGACTGACCCCGCTCCAGGGTCGCGTCTGGGTGCAACGAAAACCTTTGACCAGACCGTTCTTCAGGGTGTTGATTCCCTGTCTGCTGAAACTTCCCCCTGACCTGTCTGACATGCACGTCCTGTCTGACAGGTCAACTTGTAAAGCTTCCCCCCGAACGCCTTTCTGAACACTTCAACGGCTTCTTCATCCACCGTTCATTGGTCGTTTGCAAACGGGAACCCGGCGGATGGACGTGGAAAGCACCGGTTTCAAGGTGCCATTGGACGCTACGAACGGAGCCAAGGACGCTATGAACCGGGGCTCCTGGCCGTACTACTAGGAACGGCTGTTCGCTATTAGAAACAAAACATAAATAGAATTAGAATTACCACTTCCATGACTATTTCAATTATGCGGTCCATCATTTACCCTGCTGACCGCTTTCAGGCACTGCATTCGACTGCTTTTAGGTGTCGACTGCCCTCCGTTTTGCAGGACTCAACGTGGTTGGTCTGTTGGGGAGGATGGTGGCATCACTGGAAGTTCCAAGTCCAACCATCGTAAGCGAGGTCTGCCTGACCGGCACGAAAACAATCAAACCTCCACAAGCATGATGTGGTGTTCATATAGTTAAATCATCCACCGTCACAGAACAACGGGCGTTCCCCGCGTCTTCATAGGGCATTGAACTAACTAACTGAGGACCATTTTGATCAAACATATAAACCAACCCAACCTCACCAGCATTGTTTGGACAATCGTGGCTAAGGCTACCACAAGTCACCCCTCCTAGCCAGTACAAAAGGCCAACCAACTTGTTAAGAACCTGTCTGCTCAGGGGATTTCCCTTGAAACATGATCACCTTGCCGTGGAAAACGACGCGTCCACCGCACTCGCGCGCCTGGCGAGGATGTTGGACATCTTTGTCACCTCCTTCCTTGGTCAGCCGGTGAATAATCTTTGGACTGAACAAAAAACGACCCTTCAGTCGACTGCAGAAGACCCGACTGCCAGAAAAGCATGGTTTAACAGCACTTCGCGAAGCCTTTTCTTTGAGGCTTTCCTTCAGAAGACTTGTGGATTGTCTCATCAAATGTAGGCTGAACATAGCTGAACCACTCGAAACATTTCGAACCACCCAGATTGGCAGACTTCGATTGAGCCAACATGGGATCCTTCCGATGACCACAGCGCGGTCGGTGAAGACGAGGACTCGTTGGACCACTGCGACGGACGTTGGATCGGTTCCCTCCGTCCTGACGCCGAGTGAGCACACAGTGAACACAGTCATACGGGAGGGAGTGGAGAGAAGTGGCTCCACTGTTCGGTTGTACGTCTACAACCAAGTATTCGCAAAAGAATGGTTGACCTGGTGGTGGAGTGTACAAATCCTTGTAGTAACAGGGTTCAATTTGGTAAAGACCATTAAAACTAATGGTTGCTCGAATATGTTCAAATCGTGTTGATGATCAACATCAAGATTTTGTCCTTCTCACGTCACCCGATGACCTTTTTGGTTAGAGAGAAATACCTGATTTCATTCCCCTAGACGTCCAGTTCGACTCTATTTTGCCCCCCAAGTTTCCAGAGATCTCAACATCTCGTCACCGAATTCGCAAACATCGAGTTGTCCTCCCAGCTGCCAGTCGGGGTCCATACAGCTGCCGGGTCGGTTCGCGACGGAAACGGATCCGCAGTCCCAACAGAGGTTGAAGAACCCTATAGACTATCCCAGTTCGGTGCCCCAGGTAATGGGTCCTAGGTCAGGTCCCTTAACCGCTCGAGCGGTGGTTTCCAGGCGCTTCAACCCATCTCGCGACCCCTTCGACCGCTTCCCCGACCGCCAAATCGTTGTCGTTTCGTCGCCGATGCGCTGACACTCCGTGAGCTCCACGATGCGCGATCCTCAGAGTTTGCGGATTTCGGTGGGCGACTTGGAAAAGCATGGACAAAAGACAACC